ACACACACACACACACACACACACACACACACACACACACACACACACACACACACCTACACCCCCAAAAGTTGTTCATTCTCTCCAATCAAGAATAGATATTACTTACTGTACAATATTGACTGTTGTTATTAGTGCTTAGTAAAGATTCAGGAAGTCGAGGTGTGCTTAGGATCCTCAGGGTTCTTCGAGCGTTCAGGAGTTTGAGAAGGTAGAATAGGTTAACAGTGTATACATACGTTAAGTAATACTTGGCATCAGAACCACTGATTGATAGGCGTCCACCTAAACCCCATTTCTACGCGACGGCAAATAGTGTGATCTATCTTGACGCAGCTACCGCACTAGTTTGATTTATTGTTAGGAATGAATAGTCACATCTTCGTCAGTGTTCCTTCAGGTAATAACTGGTGTTCTATGGATCTGATGATGCACACGCATTCGGTGATGGACTGAAACTGATTACCCTTTTTTGTATTGTTTCAGTATTAGTTCGTTACCTGGGTTACAGATTGTGGTACAGACAATCTTACAGTCCATTCCTGGTAAGTTGCGGTCGTTTTTACGGAATACAATTATTCAATTTTTTAATCAATGTTTCTTAATTAATTCAAAGCGGCTTTCTTAGCATGCGTTGCTTAGCGGTCTGCGGTTGTGCCCGCAAAGCAACGCAGACTAGTTCTTTGTCATACAGAAGGTAATAAGCCTGAAGCGAGATGACGTTTTACCCCCAACTCTATACCATAATAGTTTTTAAAATTCTTTCATATTAAAATTTTCGATTCCTTAGAGAATACAGGAACAATAGTCATAATTAAAGAACAAAAGCAGTGTGAAAAGGATTATGGTCTAGAGACGGGGGTAAAACGTCATCTCGCTTCAGGCTTAGTATATTAGTACCAGAGATAAAACAGGATGCTATACATCGTCCTTGATTGTTTTACAAGGGTAGCATTTAATAGACAATGGTTGTTCTTTGAATTGGTTGTGATCGGAGACAAGGAGGAGGAGAACTGGTGTACAGCAGCTATATTTATCTAGAGGTTACTGAGGCACCATCACGTGACAGCGGCCATGCTGGATGGCAGGACTAATGTTTAACATGACAAAAAATTTGATCATATTCACAAGCGAATTTGCGCCATATAAGTATTAAATTAATATTATTATTATCATTATCATCATCATCATCATCATTATTATAAATATTATCATTATTATTATTATCATCATCATCATTATAAATATTATCATTATTATTATTATCATCATCATTATTATTATTATCATTATTACAAAGAATTCATTTCTCGAGAGTAAAGGAATTTTATTGTTTTCCATCCAACATGGCCGCCGGTTCGTGATGTTGCAATATTTCCGCCTTGTTTTACCCTTCATCTAAACAATACTGGGAAGTCAGATGTTCACCGTGGTTGGTTTAATCCTTTTATTGTACCTACAGACATGGCCAATATCGTTCTTCTTCTTGTCATCATCATGTTGGTGTTTTCAGTGATCGGCATTACTCTATTCAGAGACACTGTGCCTAAATACTTTGGTAGCCTATCAACTGGTATCCTTTTACCAACCTGATAACGATTTCAGAAATCGCTTGAAGAAATCCCCCGCAATACGTTTGAAAGCGCGCGCGCTACGTTTGTGGTGCAAACTATTTTGATGCAAAAATGATGATCTAAAGACGCGATGTTATTTTTATAGTGGCTATCGTTTTTAGATGGTTATCGACGAACATGACTAAAGAAACGACCTCTTGGCCGAAAATAACCATTGGAAACCCTAAATTAAGCAGGCACATTCGGGACTTTTTATGGTGCCCGCTTAATAGAGGTGTCCGTCATATAAAGGTTCGTTATACTGAGTAAATATGGGAAGAAAATTTCGTACATCATCCGAGGTACTGCCCGTTTAATGAAATGTGCCCGCTTATTTTCCTTGATTATTACTTGCCATGTTTACTTTATTTGTTTGCCTAACTCAAGATGGATGGATGGAGATATTTGGAGCATTCCAGGTAATATGCTTATTAGCTTACAGAAACAGGACCTATGACAATTGCAACAGGCCTCTTATCTTGGGCGTAATGTCTTCCCATTTCATGCCACGTGTTATTCCTTAGAGTAACATTTCTTCGTTGAATGGTTGCACACGAGAAGACACAAGAAAAAAAATACAATTCAAACAAAGAATCTAATTGTCAAGAAAATGACACGTAATCTGAAATGGGTAAACATTTCTCCCAAAGTAAAGAGGTTTATTGAATATTCCTTTCTAGCTGCACATTGTAATGGTTTACCACTGGGTTTAGAAGACAAACGAATAGCTGATTGACAGTTATCAGCCTCATCAGTAGTTAACGGTTATCACCACCCAAAATACGTCAGTCTCAATTAGTCTTATTCTCAAGAGAATGGAACATGATCTGAAATGGGAAAACATTACGCCCAAAAGAAAATAATTTGTTTGAATCAGTGAGGAAAATCCACTCTTTTGAGAAAACTTTGCCTTTTTTTGTTTGTGACAAACATAGATGATTATAGCCTGTAAGGGGAAAAATGAAATTTTGGATTCCCTCAAAATTGTTTCTTTTCTTTCTTTCTTTTTTTATTTCTTTATTCATCCATCCATCCATCCATCCATCCATCCATCCATCCATCCATCCATTCATTCATTCATTCATTCATTTATTTATTTATTTATTTATTTTTTGTCAACAGAGTCAAGGCGACACTACCTACATTGGTGGAGGGATTTTCCTTCTCGTCTTTATTGCCATCGGGGCTTTCGTCTTTGCTAATTTGGTGGTAGCTGTGGTGGTCACGAACCTGGTGAGGAACTCTGTTGGACCTCTACAGATTTTGCATAATTTCATATCTTATGCGTAAACCCTAGGGTGTTTAGATATTCCTTAGTGATGTGATACACACGTTGTTATGTTCAGGAATTTGCCATGGTCGCTGTTAAAAACGAAGGAAAAGAAAGAGAAGCCGATGACCTCAAAAGTAAACTAGAAGCCGAAAGTAAGTTATCAAAGTGCTTCCCAATAACACTCGCGAAATCGTACAACTTGCCGTCATTTGAGACAAACAAAGCTTTAGTGCACGTCGATCCACGTGTCTGAAACGCCTTGATTGACGTCCACCAAAACCTACTTGGTTGCGACGACAAATTGTAGCATTTAGTGTGCGTTATTGGGAAGTGCTGTAAATATCAATAGACGTTGTTATGACAAGTGCGCATTTGATGATAGTCATGATCGTCACGATCGTCATGATCGTGTTGATAATGATAGTGATAATAGTGATGATAATGATAGTGATAATAGTGATGATATTGATAGTGATTGTGATGATAGTGATAATAATGATGATAGTGATAGTGATGATAGTGATGATGATAGTGATGATCGTGATGTTAATGATGATAATGATAATAATGATAATGATAATAATGATGATGATAATGATGATAGTGATGATTGTGATGTTAATGATGGTATTGATGATATTGATAATGTAAAGGGCGCTGCTCATGAGGGAGTTCCGAACTGGAATGATACAAATTAGAGATTATTTCGTGCCGTCAATAGTTCATCTTCGGTTCGTGGTTCTAACACTGTCTATTTTACCTTGCAGATGACTTGGTAAACATTGTCAGCCCTGACGATATTCCTGCCTGTATTTTCAATAAGCAGATGCCTTACCAAGTTCCTGTAAGCATTATTGATTTCACCAGACTATGATGATGACGATGACGGATGATGATAACTATGACTGTAATGACGATGACGATAACTGATGATGATGATGATAACGATGACTAATGATGACGATGACTGATGATGACGATTATGATGACGATGACTGACGATGATTGATGATGATAACGATGACTGATGATGACGATGACTGATGATGACGATGACTGATGATGACGAAGACTGATGATGACGAAGACTGATGATGACGATGACTGATGATGACGATGATGATGACGATGACTGATGATGACGATGACTGATGATGACGAAGACTGATGATGACGATGACTGATGATGATGATGACGATGACTGATGATGATGATGATAACGATGACTGATGGTGATGATGATGATAACAATTTTGTAACTAAAACCTTTTTTTTTTCTTGTTTCGCGTCACAGGAGTTCAAAAATCTACCAATTGATCAGCTTGAAAATTACATCACCGTAATCTTTGCCCTGGAAAATAATCTCGCAGAATATAAGAAAATAAAGGCTGGGATTGTTGAGGTAACTATAACGTTCTTAATCATTGTTTGTCGAGAAAATTTTTTTTTTTTTTTTTTGATGCAGGTTAAAAGACATTCTTCTTCTTTTACATCCATTGAAGCAGGAAAGAGCTCAGTACATAATTCAAATTTAATTTCAAACAACGTCGGTCTGAATACTGCTATGGGCGATATTTATTATTATTTACAAATATTTATATAATTTAATAAAAATGCTAATACTATTATACATATGAAATACCTTTCATATTATTATCGACTAAAGATAATATTTTTTCTTCATTATGTTGGTTTTATTAAGCCCTGTTTACACTGGCGATTTTTGCGACGATTTTTGCTGCGATTTTTGTTGCAGTTTTCGGAAATATGAAATTTTCGTCTAGGAAAATCTTGGTATCCTGAAAAAAACTTTACAAGTAAATTCTTTACCATTATTTATTATGGACAAAATCGCAAAAAAATCGCAGCAAAAATCGCTGCAAAAATCGCTAGTGTAAACGGGACAAATATTCATGCAAATGACTGATATTCACTCTCGCGACATTTAAGTGCAATATTGGAATATGAATTGATTTCACTCATGCTAATTTCCATCGAACTAAGTCCCAGAATGCAACGCACAGTCCATTGCTAACCAGTTTCCTGCTCAACTCCGATACAGCCAATAATCTTATAACTTTATTTGATAATAAACAAATTATCGTTACTCTAGTGTGTAACTTATACAGAGCATACATGAATCCAAGCTATATTTCAATATTGCACAATATTGCGTCAGTACTGATGCAATATTTTTCTGTATGGGTTGCAGATATTTTCAGAGGTGTCTGAACTTCAAGAGAAAGCAAAGAAAGAAGGAATACTAAAAGAAGGAGGAGACAGTCACAACTTACCAAGTCAAGGACAGTTGGTGAGTAATTACGCAAAAATACACTGACGATAACAAACCGTTCTATGTAGATTTTGGTGGACGTCAATCAAGGCGTTTCCATGACATTGCATAGGCATGTGCTCTAAAAAAAACTTGTGTTTTCCGATGAGGTCATGGAAAACTTCGACTGACGTTTACCAAAACCCTATTTTCTCGCGACGGTAAACATTGTAATGGTGTCAAGCTGGTATTTTTTAGAGTAATTTCATTTATAAAAAAATTGAAAGGCGATCTAATGCTAAAACAAATAAAAAAGATAGAATTATTATTGTCTATAGCAAGCGTCGGTCTATTACACTTTTTACAATAGTGCAGTTTTCGTATGATTGTGAAAAATTCACTGCACGAACACGGTCGTGACAGCAAGGGATACGCCAGACCAATCACATTGCACGAGAACTTACTCTCCATCCAATCAAATACCCGGAATACATGCATAAACACGGCACGGACACGGTCACGCCAAACTCACGACACTATCAGACCAATCACATTGCACGAGAACTTACTCTCCATCCAATCAAATACCCGGAATACATGCATAAACACGGCACGGACACGGTCACGCCAAGATCACGACACTATCAGACCAATCACATTGCGCGTGAAAAAAATCAGCCAATTAAAATTCTAGAAAGCATCACGGTCAAGGCACGTCACGCTTACGGCACTGAGCTTTTCACAGTCATACGAAAACTGCTCTAACATACACTGAAATTTCTCGCGCGCTGTTTGATTATTTTTTATCATGAATAGAAGGACAGACAGATAAGCTGACGTCAACGCGCACGCTCTGAAGCTTTCCTTTGATTGCTTTGATCACTAAAACGATAAGTTTTTATCGGAATTGACGAATTGACATCAGTTTTTTTATATTTCTGTCCTTATTGACGATAAATTTCTTCATCACGTTGTCAAAGGATCCACTCTACTTTGACAATGTGATGAAGCAAATTATCGTCAATTATAAGAGGACAGATACATAAAAAAACTGATGGTTTGTTAAATGGAATATGTACTTTACGAAATAGATAATAAATTCATTACTTCCGTAGCCGATGAGTGGTGATGTGATCTCCAACCTGATGGAAATGGAGAGTGGACGTGTTTTTGACTCACATAAAGATACCTTATCTACCATGTTGAAGGAAGGTGCAAAACGCGTGAAACATGGATCAAGAAGATCTTCCCAACGATCTGCTGGATTACCAACAACACCTTTCAGTGGCATGTAATGTAGAACCCGTGTTGAAACAACCACTTTATTTATTTGATAGTGTAAATGTCTTTTGATATTTTGCACTTTGATGTTAAGAAATGTCAGTTGTTTAAGTCATTTTGAATATTTATCAACCAATAACGTGTTTGATGTTGTCACAAGGCTTAACAGAGTCTAGTTTACCGTTAAATGTTTTGGCAATTATAAAAAGTCGTATTTCCATCCCACAGTAATTGACTTGCTAGATCAGTTTTCGTATAACTGAGTACCGCTCACGGCATGAACACGGTCGTGACACGGCAAAGGGATACCCCAGACCAATCCCATTGCACAAGAACGTACTATCCATCCAATCAAATACCCGGAGCACTGTATAAACACGGACACGGTCACGCCAAACTCACGACACTGTCACTATCACATTGCGCGAGAAAAAATAGCATTTAAATTCTGGGAAACATCACKGTCACAGTACGCTTACAGCACTGAGCTTTTCACAGTCATGTGAAAATAGAACTATGTGATTGCGAATAAAAAGAACATAGTCTTCTTGTTGAGTTCAGTACAATTTGAACAGTACAATTTGAATCCACATTTTTTTTCCAAGCTCATTGCACATTGATAAGTTGTTACTTTACGTTTCAACATGCTTTCGAAATCTCTCCATTTAAGAGATACCAATGATCATTTTCAAACTTTGTCGAAGATCTCTTGGCATAGAAAATGAACATACACCTAGAAATAGATCAGAATAGATCAAAATATCGAATAACACGGGTAACAAACGAATGAATCAAAATATCGAATAAAACGGGTCAAAATCGAAT